TATCTCAGTTCATCGTTCCATCGAATGCGATATTCGCCGTGGCCAACGCGCAAAGAACCATAAATTTTTCGCAGAACTTTTCTCTCGAAAACTCGTAATGTCGACTCATCAGTTGTTGACATCGTCCAAGCCTCTTCACCATATAGCAGAACGAGAATTGTGAGTGACTTATAGAGTTTAGTTTTTGTTTGTCGAAATAGGACTTTGCTTCTCAATTGCCTACTCAGTCCGAAGTAGCACCTGTTGGCAATAGTTTTCCTGCGTTGGATTTCCAGGCTGACATTGTTGGTGGTGTTTACGCTGGTTCCAAGATAGACGAAATTAGTCTGGAGAAAGCAGAACTAATGGCGCGGATGTTGAGGACGATGATATCAATATCGCCTTGTCTGAAACTTCGTTTGGTTTCGGACGGCTCGGAGATCGGAGATACTAAAAGACTTTTTCGACTACCCTATATATGTGCTTTGTACACTCTCCGTTTTTTAAACACTTCTTGGTAAAACTAATATACCCTGCTCGGGGTATCATAATTTTATATATCTTAAGTGATATCATTTTGGTTACATTTATCAACTATTTCTCTTTAAATTTCACATGTTACCCCTGAAATATGTGAATATTTTCAATGAAACAGTGGAATCCACTTTCTGATGGGCTCCTCAAAAACCGGAAAAGAGGCAACTAAACTTTACGTCAGTATTACGTTCAAAATTAAGGCCTAACTTGGAAAATGTTTGCCTGGGAGCAAGAAAAAATAATTGAATATTTGGTTTTGATCCAAATTACAGACTCCTTTTTCTTGATTATCTAGGGTTCTTCTAACCCTAAAAAGGTTGTTTTCTAAATATTTACTAGTATTCTATAGAATTTAGACTACCACAGTAGCTGGAGCTATTGTGTGTACCGCAAGTAGTCAATCTAGGACTATCTCTCTGCGAGCCAGATCTATATGAACTTTGTGAACGAATGTTTAGATGAATATCCAGATGCTAAATAAAAGTCGTATAATATTTTGATTATTGATGCTTAGTAAGTATCAGTAGCATATCATAAGAAAGAAGCAAGCTAACAATTATAACGATATTTTCCATTTGTTATTCCGATATTTTTTAATATATTTATTGTAACGTCTTTATATTCAATTTTATAAACTTAGTTTGAAATTATGTATTTTGGCAAAGCACAATTTCGGCTTTGGGTTTCTCTTTAGAGTATATAGTGAAAATTTCATACAAAAATTACCACTACATGCTCTGTACCCGCAGTTCCGGCCGTTCATACCCAAACAAATTAAAAGGCGGTATCCGAAATCGCCAAACGATAAACAGTGGGCAATCTGTGCTTATACGAAATGACTTAATTTGCATGCGCACTTAATTGTTGCTAGTAAAAGTTTTTATACTCTAAACAAATTGCGGTTTTATTGCCATAAATAACAGTAATAGCAAATTTAGTGTACTTACTAACTGAATATTTAAGCAGCGAATAATTCTTCGTTTGAGTAGGACTTTTGGCTGTGAGTTCAGTTTATATGCATCGTAAAACAGTACAAATTAGTTAGAAAGAGAATAAAAAAGGAAAATGTATTAGTTTAGGTTGCAACAAATAAATAGAAAAGTTTCCATACAAGTGCTTCAATCTAATTTCTATCATATTTGTTCGGAATTTTATCATTGCTTTAGCCAATAATTCATGCCAAATTTCGTGAGAATATCCTAACAAAGAAAAAGGTTTTCTGAACAGGAAATTATGCCAAAGAAAACGAATATATCAAACTGGTCAATGCCAAGACTTATTTGAAATTAGCCCACATAAAAACCTACTGTCGTTAACTGGTCTGAGGACGCGTTTGCCACAAATTCGGTACAACAGATGCAAGCGATTTCTTCAGTGGCGCTCGATCAACTGTCATGAAAGTATACTTTTTATAGAAGAACAAATTTTTCCTTTATGAAATTTTTGTAATAAGCAAAACGACAAAATCCACGCTAACACTTCCAAAGATGCAAAAAAAACATTCCAACAATTCTACATGGTCACCATCTGGCTGCTGTAATTAACGGTTCGGTTTATAGTCTCCTGTAAAGGCCTTACATCTCTCCCTTCTATGAAAAATGGATTAAATCTTGGAATAGGCATGTTCCAGCAGGACGTTTTAGAAGGCGTGGTAAGGCAGTTAAATCATAATATCATTGATCAATAGTATTGGGTCTTTCAGAAATATTCTACTCCAACACACAAGACAAAAACCACCCAGCAGTGGCTTAAAATAAATATTCCTGGTGCCATAGCTGCAAATAAATGGTCACCTTTAAGTCCAGATTTGAATCCATTGGACTACGATGTTAGTCGAAATTAGGGAACACCGTTAGAAAACTTAGAATTTCAAATCTTGTAAATTAGCTATGACCGAACATGAATATTGCAAAGAACTGTAGTTCCTCATACATTTTTGTATCTAAAAAAAACATTGTGAGTTACACCTTAATAAATACTAAAAAACTTTATTCTAATTTCTTATACACAAGTCTATGTCCTTGACCTTTAATCGGTTTAATCGGAAAGTAATTGCCTTATCCCTTTAACCTGCGACAAAACGCATTCGTCGTAAGTCAAATAAAGAATTGCGAAATAATGAAATGGCGAAAAATGCGTAGCGGAAAAATGTAATATGTAATGTATTAGAAGTGGAAATGCCGGCGCGACTGGCATCTAAAAACAAAGTTTTGCATAAATAAATGTACAAAATGAAACAATTTGCATGCAATTAACATGGCTAAAGCAACATTGAACAAAACATTCGCGTGAGACTACAATCAAACAATGCTCATACTAATGACTTGAATGTGTGCAATGAACTCACTCAAATGCTTGCTGCATGGACTACATTGCCCAAATTTGACTCGAAATGTCAGCTGGTAAATAGTTAACGGTAAAATGTATAAATTATAAGCAAAAGCTTGTAATGCATACACACATAGTTATAGGAATGCGTAACAACACACAACCAACAACAAGTAATAGAAAGAAGCTTTGCAAGCATTTTCAACACTTCGCACATTCACCGGCGCAAGTTAATTGCATGTATGTGTGTGTGTGATAGCATGGTTTTGTGGAAACATTGTTATATTTTTTGGGAAATATTAAAGTATGCATACAGATATTCTATGAGTTTATGCATGCATGCAAAGAATAAATTCCAACTAGCCACATTTCTTTTGCACAATTCCGATGTTACGTATACGCTCTGTTGAGTTTTATCTAACAAACTTTCGCAGCAACGCAGGTGTACATGGCTTGAATAATAAAAACAAACTGCTTTCGTCGAAGTCGCTTTAATGCTTGATATATTTGCGTAAATGCTATATTTTATAGAGCAATTTCCCAGCTAAATGGTTATTTTATATTATAGTATGTTATAATTGCTGTAGAAGTGCATATATTTTCATACTAAAAAAAATGTTTTAATTGCTTACTAAGAATAACACACTTTAAGATAGTATATTGAAAAAAATTATGATGTAGGTTTATGAAATATACTTGCTATAATTACTGTTCATCTCTGGAACCTGATTAAATTATATTTTAGTAGCTAATCGTTTCAAATAAATGCCATATAACTAGTTATTTAAAGAAAATCCCCAATTTTAGTTAAAAAATGTACCGTCAAACCATATCCAAAGGTATTCTATATTTGGTTTCCAACATTAACTACGTTCCTTAGACTTCCCGGTTCTTTATATGTGAATTCACTAATATTTTGAAGCGATTAAACTGAAAGATTTAATCGCTTCAAAATGTTCCGAGATGCGCTAAATAGAAATTGTAGATAAACTTGCTAATAACTATGGATGCTTTTATTTCTAACTAGAGGACCCGTAAACGCTTCACTGTGGCTTGATTTCTATTAGTTTCTATTAGTTATAAATATTTGTTGATGAGATATAGAATTTTTGTGAAGCACATTGTGTTAGTATACAAAAAAATTGATCATATGACATTTCTTATATTAATAAAGCATTTCTTTTGTGAGGGAAATTTGGGCTCATAGAAATCCACCGATGAAAAGATATTTGCTAAGCTAAAGAGGCGAAAGCTCTGTGCAAAGTGGGTGCCTCGCAAGTTCATAATTCAACAAAAACAACCAATACCTGATTCTGAGAAGTGTTTGAGTGCTCTTTAATCGTAATGAAACCGAATTTGTGCATTGGTGTGTGACAATAGAAACATGGCTCCATCATTTCCCACTTGAGTAAAATCGACTAGTGACCTGCGCATGATGAACCAGTTCTGAGGCGTGGAAAGACGAAAAAGCCGGCTGAAAAGGTTATAATATCAGTCTTTTTGGGATATACGTGGTATAATATATACTCAACGACTGATTTTTTAGGAAGAATATTTTTAAAATTGTATCATGTGGATTCAGACGATTCCTACAAACATGAATTTCGAACAAATGCTTATTATTTCAAATATAATTTTTGTATTTATGAGTTACACTGGCTCTAAGCTACCTCTCCAACTTTTCAGCCAAATCGGTTCAGATGTTCTTGAGTTATAAATGGTGTAACTAACACAACTTTCTTTTAAATATTGATATATATATAGATTTATTTCAATTACTATTAGTAAATGTGTCCCCATGTAGCCAAGTATGCTAGGAATTGCAAGAATACTTTTGCTTCATTGATATATTTTTTCATAAAATAAGTGTTTTTAAAACATACTTAAATGTAATTGTCTTCTATATAATTATCAGAAAGGGAAAATACGTCTCCCTTCCCTTTTTCATTCAGTATTCAGTTTGATATATTTTTTTCTTGTCTACGAACAAGAAGAGCACCTTAAGAAATTTGTAATGTGCAAAAAAGTATTTTACATTTTCCTCAAGTTTTATAGAGTTCTCTCGAAATATTTTTTAGATATTATTTATTTACTTATTTTTATAAAGTCGTTATATTATTTCAATAAAAATGTTATCATTCTTTCTTTTTTTGCAGATTTGCGAACTGCATTCGATCTCTTAGACAGAAATCGTGATGGGCGTGTCACAGCAAATGAGTTGCAATTTATGTTGAAAAATCTTGGCATAAATGTGCGAGACGAAATCATACACGATCTCATACGCGAGGCAAGCCATTCTGGTGAGTATACAAAATTACCTTTCGAGTTTAATGCAATATAGTGAAAGGCAGCATTTAAGTGTTTTATGAAAATTCGTACATATTTCTATAGATTCCTAATGATTAAGAGTTGATATAACTTGCAGTATCAAAAAATCTTCATTGAAGCACTATTAATGCTTCGTAAACGAAGAAAATGCAAAAACGATTAGAGGAAAAAAAACTCTTGTATGTAAAAATATACTAAATGAAATAAGAAACAACATTTTTCTACTAATATACTTGGTAGACATGTGAATTAAACTAAAACAAAATCAGACGATTCATTAAATTTGTTTTAGAATTAAAACACAATTTGCAGGTTCACTGCTAACGAGGAATAACTAAAACAAAAATGTTCGCAAATTTATGCAATTTTTATAATAAATACTTAAAAAATATCCGGAAATATAAATAAAACGCCAAATACGTAATTATTTATCAACATTTACTTTGTCGCCCTCAAAGCAATCTCCATCAACGGTTATTTCAGTCCTCGAAACACTTTTCATAAGCACCTTTAGCTTCTTCGGTGAATTTTGTTTCATCTCATCGATCGACTGACTGATCATTGTTGACTTGTTCGCATAACAAACTCAAAATCCCATGTCTCGTTGGCAGTTATAATGCTCTCCATGAATATGCGACCGGAATTCGCACAATCAAGTATGTTTAAAAAGACCTATTTGCAGTACTCTTTTTGAAAAAAATTCAGCTTTATCGGTACGAGTCTTTCTAACACTTACCTGATGTACCTGATGTACCAGTTCAAATTTACTGCCTTCTCTTCAGTTATCTTTATGTTAGAGAAAAAAAAAATTTTTTCTATTTAAAAAATTAAGAAATTTTGAAAATATTTATTTCTAAAATCATTTTATTAAAAAGTGCTTAGATATGATATGCACATGACCTGTCGAATGAATCTACGTGTTTAAACTTGTATCTTTTGTTTCCACTTTTAATATCAATAAACACATTGGCTATTATCGTTAAAAAAAAAAAATTTTTAAAACTCCCAAATTTTTCTAGTACATGCCCTTACCATAAAAATAAGACTAAATATTCAGGTAATCAATTGCTCTTAAGGAGCTATACCATTGTGACGAATGAGAAATTAGACGATTTTCGTGAATTTTTTTATGAGAAAGTACGCGATTGAATACTTCGAACTTCTTTGAACATAATAAGGTATATTTTCAGCTATATTTTAAGATTTTCTTTTTTACAAAAATGTTGAAAAATAACGGAGGTATGGGCTGTCTTCGGAGGTGCCTCAACTGCTGGCATGATTCCGTCCGAATGAGCAGCTGAAATAAAAAAATTTAAAAAGTTTATTAAACTTAAAAATATTTCCTATACAATGGCCCACGATCTTTGAAAAATATTAAAAATTAACAAAGTGGAGTAATTTTGAAAAAAAACGTTTTTTAGGTAAAAAATTGTCGTTTTTTTTAATGAAAAATTGACAACTATCAACCGATCAAAAAGATCGTATGTCATTGTATAGTAAATGTATTCAAAAATACTGAGTATTAATTTGGAGTCGATCGGTCAATTTCTCGTTGAGTTATGATGCCAGCAATTTTGAAAAATTTCGTTTCGAGAAAAACGCGTTTAAAGTTTCCCCTATACGAGTATATGTTTGCACCTCCGAGCGATAGCTCTTTAGAACGCTGCCATCCAAAAACTATTCAAGATACGACCTTCCCGATTTCACAAGATATTTATGGAATTATAAGCTATCAAAAAAGCATATGCGAGTAAAAAAATTGGTTTTTGTCACACTGGTATAGTCCCTTAAAGAAGGAGAAGTTTTTACAAAATACTTGAGTCATATAACCAATGGCACTAACTATCAGCTTACACAAAATCTTATAAGTAATATATTACCAAGCATTTCGATCCCCCACGAAGTAGTTAACGAGGTATAAATTGCGCATTATACTTAGGTACACACTTACATACACATATAGTATATATGCCTTTTCTTTTATGGTAGAACTGTACCCTTCACTGTCACTTTCAGACGCCATTTTATCTTACTCACTGGGTGCTACAGATTTTATGATGCAATTTGTTTGCATTTCACTTTTTGTGGTTGACAGTTTTGCAAATTTATGAGTGCCAAGCGATGCAAGTTCACATAAATATCAGCATATACGTACATACTTATTACCTCTGCAACTTAGAATCATATGCTTGCAGCCAAGATTCATAAATTTAAGCAAACTATTTATTTTAAAAGCATTTGACAACATTTTGTGAAAAGTTTATGAATAATTATAAGTGTTGTTTGCTTGTTAACGACAATTACATGTAATGCACATACATGCCTATGTAAGTACTATACGAGTATGCGTACTACTTTACTCCTGTTTGTTCACTCTAAAAATTCTACGATTTTGGTTTAGATTATCAAATGCTTGGTTAGCTTAGTTAAAAGTTGCGTGTTGCAATATAATCTAATTTTATGATAATTGCTCTTTTCTATTATTTTAAACACTTTGCGTGTCCACATGACTTTTGAGTTAAATTTAAATGGCAGCAATAATAATAACGAGTTGAGTGTCATTGTATTTAGTTTACATAAACGGATTTCGCTTTAGTTGCTTCCGAATACTTTATTTCGATTAAATGTTGCGCATTTGCGGCCATTAGAGTTAATTTCGATGACTTTTTATTTCTCTAAAACCAAAATAATTATAATATAGATATAATTTCTTCTCTAATGATACACTGGAGGAGGTATAAACAGTGAGTCATCCTAAAGGACTTGAACTTAGAAACTGAACTTCATTTAGTATCGGAAAGTATCAAGACTGGTCTACGCGTGGATTCATAAAGAATTTGTATAAGAAAGGGTTGAACGATCAAACGTACACAAAACTTTTGTTGACAATTGGACCTTAAAAAACTAATTGAAACATTGGTCCTTTTTCATTGAATTATTTTTCCTTTTTTTTAATGTTATCCAAGTTCATCTCTACATGCCTTCAATATAGGTTAAAGATAGCGAGTATAAGTATTTAAGCAAAATCACTACTGAACTTTTTATTTGCTAAATTATTGGCGGAATTATTAATTATTGATTAAGCGGAATTTTGGCTTCAATGTTTTAAGTATGAATTATAATTGAACGTTACTCATACGCCATGTATTGCTTCAAATTTATACAAAGTAAATATGCCTAAATTAGAATAGAACTTTTCTACTCTTAACCATGTGGCAGTAATGCGTTTACCACAGCAATGTTGGCAGCAAATGCTGCAATGTTTTAACCTCACAATCTCAACGACTAATTATCGCTCGCGGCGAAGTTTTCATGCACAAAGGCTAAAATGGCAAAACAATTTGAGTTTCACTTTATAACATCGTGTAGGAGAATGCGCTGTAAAAGACTTGTGAAAATGACGGAAATTAATCTTTCAAGAGTTAAGATTTATTGACAGCAATTTAAAAATTTTTGCGTTTTCAACATTAAAAAAAAATATAGTATAAATATTGAAGAAAAGAAAATATATTGAAAACAAAAAGCTGGCTAATAAAATAATTTTGGTAATTTCACTTTATTTTTTATGAGCACTAAAGTATGTCAATGAGTCCAATACGGCGATGAGCTCTTTTAGTAAGTATAAAACTCTTCTGCAATAATTTTATTCTCTCCATAAATTTAAAAGCACTGCATATCAGGACGTATTTCATAAATTTTTTATATATATATTTTTTTTTATTTATATTGCCACCGACATTTTCCAGATGATTGACTTATAAATTGCATCTTTAATTCACTCGCTCCATAACCTTTCGATTGGCAGTAATTTTTCTCCCATAGAATGTCTGTCAAGCAAGATGCATGTGGAAATTGAATACCATCGGGAAAGATATTTAGAACGTATAGACATGTGGCATGTACACGCTTGTTGATATGTGTATATATATATGTATGCACATATGTACATCGTTCAACAAGTAAAGTACTAGCATAGAAAATGACTGTTGTTGACATCTGACTGTTTTAAGGTTAAGTGACAGCGTTAACACCAATTTTCAAACAAAAGGCGGTATAAAGAGACATAAATATGTGTCGAATATATCATTATTATTAAATATTAAGTGCTTTAATGTGTATCGATGAAAATATGAAGAAAGCGAATGGAAAACAAAAATTAAAGTAGTGATATAAAACTGACAGGAGCTGTGTATTTATTTATAATAAAAATAATTCAAGAAAATAAAAAGCTTGTATACCCGAAAAGATAAGTTCGCCCAAGATTTTTAATACCCAGTGGATCTCCTTTAAAATAAATATACATAAAAATGTTCAGTTTTTGAAATACAGATTTGAAATTTGTAACAAATCTTTTTCTTGCCAAGGAGTTTCTCATTTGTCTGAACCAACAATTTTAGACCACTAAGCATATAGCTGTCATACAAAATTAACGATTAGAATGAATTTTTTTATTTGACGAGATATTTTTACAAATTTGAATAGGGATTATAGAATAATATAGCGCAGGAATCTCCAATTATAATATATATACAATTTTTATATATTTTATATTTGCGATCAGTATCCTTTTGAATGCTCATTTTGCTTTTTCATTTCTGAATTCACAATACGACACTTTTATTATTTTGCCAAATTTAATGACATTAAATCCACTGTGGCTTTAAGATTGCTACTCTATAACAATGAATTCGTCAGCTCAACCGAAGCCAACTAAATGCCGGTGCAAAAGTTGTTTAAATAAGTATAAAAGTAGAATTATCTAGGGGATTCAATCAATTTCCTTTTATGTACTCGCACAAAAAATAAGGTTTGACGAGGTCTCGAACGAATAATCATAGAATATTTGTTTGTATTGAAACTGTGTAATTAAATTGAGCGCACGGTCAATTGAACTGTTGGCTAAGCAGTCGGAAAAGTCTTTTATGTGTTAATTTACTTTGACAATATTCAAAGTTTGTAGGCGTTGAAGCAA